CACTTTTAAGTGATATTTGAGGTTCTCATTGCGGCGAAAATGACGATGGTAACATTCTGGAATATTTTAACGTGTAGTTTCTTTGAAGCTGACTGATTTTTCAAAAATATTTAATGTCTCCTTCGTTAAAGTGCAAATATGTACACATAAGTTTTGTCCGGAAAACATAAAGAAGGTTATTAAATGAGAAACACAGGATAGTATTTTTAGGAGATCTTGGAGGAATATGTTACGAGGATTTTGGCTGGATTCAAACACGGCAACGAACTACGAGATTTAATAATAGCAGACTTTTTCTTGACATTCTGAGTCAGTATTTACTTCTAATAAGCTAAGAATGTTGTTAAGTGATTCTGCAGATGACCATGGCAGAAGTTCTAAAGCACACCCCTTCCTGTCCTCGTTTCCTCGTCGTGTGTTACCAGTACAATCGATGGAGTAAATCGATCCAGCTGCCACTCGCTACAGCTGTTAATGTTACGTCGCCCTTAAACTTCTGTTTTCGTGTTGAATATTGTTCAGTGAAACTGTTTAGTGTCGAATTCGACTCTAGTAGCTTGGAATACATTGAAATTCAATATCACACTGAACTTTCTCGTTGGGCAAGTCTAGCGCATAGAATGGGTTGTTTTCAATTTAACAATCATGACGAGTTTAAATAATCAGTTTTTATGCAGACTGTTTGACGCGATTTTCATCAGTGACTCAAGAAATTATACCTGGAAATTTATAAATTCCATAGTCTTCATTGAAAGTAACTAAAGTGATCGTTCTGCTATTGAGGATTGTTGTCCCAGGCGACACGGCGAAACAACCTACAAGTCAGCCATCTTCATACTCGCTGCCGTCAGAAAATAGAATCTAGCTTATTTCAGCACTGTCATGGGACCCACAGATTTACTGCCGCGTTCAAATAAACTCTGACCGCTGGGATCTATCCTGATAAAGTTTAATTAAGTTCGTACCCTTACATCTCACTTGTTCCAGACCGATTTTAATATTGTCCTCCCTTGACATTTCTCCAATTTTTCGTATTACATGTATTTTCCATCTCAATTTAGATCACAATTCACATATGAACATTTTTTAACGTGGAGTCTTGTGGGTATAGTCACGTATTTCAGATATATCATGAAAGCCTTAATCGGGATGACCAGCCCCGTATCTAAATTGATATGAATGATCGTTTCTTAGGTTACTTAACGATGGTCTTACACCTATAGATACAGTATAGCTTCCAGGAAGATTTGAATGGTAAACACCTAACGATTCTGAAGCTACCACATTTAGCGCATTAGAAGACATTAGCATTCAGGTTGACTGAAGAATACCATGTCAGGATAGCCAGGATTCCGGCCAAAATTCCAACCGAGTATCTCCGGAGTATGAATAGTGTGTGTCTGATCACTCGACCGCAACGTCGAATCTAGTACTTGAAGTTCATACGATTTATTACCATGAAGACAATAAGTTTTTTCTTCACACTGACTATGTCCAAAACTTACTGGCGACACCTGAGCTTGTTAATAAGTAATTTTTTACGTTGCATACTTTTCCGACTTCATTTTTGATGCTGTTCAAAACAAGTGTAATTTTTAATATGTTGTCTTTCGATAGTTCCAAAGCGTTGAAGAAGACGCTTAAGGTACAAAGGATTTCTTGCGACCGAGAATATATGTTGGGGGGGGGGGGTGTTTGTGTACCAGAAGCCCACGGGTTTATTTCTGGAGGAAGGTTAGATAACAGGGGAACGTGATGAAGGTTTGTAGGGTGAATGAGGGTTGAGAAAGGGGAGGAATTTTAATGAAAATGGAGCCGTATTGTTGAACAGGTTTTGTATATGTTCAGACACTGTCGCTTGGACCCCGTCCCCTTTTCATTCGCCGTCAACATGCACCATCTTGACGGCCGTCTCTTTGTTTAAACCTCGAGCTATCAGATGGATACTGCAGGCACCTCACGGAGCTAAGCTACGCCTTGATAATAGGCAAATGGTTAACTACTCTGCAGACGATGCACGAATATTATTTGCTACTCCTGGCCCCAAATTCTGACGACAAATTGCACAGTTCTGTATGGGCAACATTGTAACAAAATTAATTAACAACATATGAATTTAAATAAAATAAAGTTTGGTCGTAAATTGGGTTTATCAGGTTCGAATGCTTCAATTTTTAAACTTTTCTTACACACGTAATTTCCTCTTCTTAATGAATGAAGAAACTGTCATGTGATTTGTGTTGGGCCACACTAATATCCCGTGTGAAAACTGTGTCGTGATAATTCTGAACTGGTTTCTGTTAGGCTTCATGATCTGCATGTGTTCCCTGCAGTGAGCTTTCAAAGTCTGAGCGACCTAAACTCTACTGTAGACAATTTTCTAGGCCATTCTTGTGGAGAAAGATGGCAGATACCACTGCTGTTGTACGTATCATTTTATTTTATCGGTTATATGTGATTTGGGGTGACATTAGAAATTTTTAATGCTATATAAATAATGATAACTTTAAAGAGTTTTGTTATTTTTCTGATTATTTGCCTACATATAAAGAGTTTTGAGGTTAAACGTATTTGGTAAATGGATGGTGTAGGTAAATGTCTGTACTACGTATTTTGTAGACTGAAAAGTTGTTTTCAGTGCACTAATTTATTGACCGCGGAAATCGGGCTTGTGTACATAAGAATGGCAGTTTTCCGCAAGTAACTTTTGCTTGTATTTCCTGTTACATTCTAAAGTCACTAAGATACCATGCGACTCTTTATTATACCTCATTGTCTGAGAAAAACCACGAAGAGATACTCGATACACTGCGAGGAAGCTTTTGAAAAGTCAACCTGTAAATTCTGCTTCACTTCCAAAGCTTCTATGTTCTATTCAATGCACCTCTGTTCCCTTCAGAGCCCACAAAAGGCCCAATCACAGGGGAAGGTGGGAAGAACAGAGCACTGGAAAATCTATAGCCTTTTTCTGTGCTTCGGAAACTTCGGTATTCCCGTTATTTTGTGTTCACAAATTCCTAACACACTCCTTCTGCTTTAATTATGCTTCACTCGACTTCCTCGTAAGTTCGGCCCTTCTAATTTTTTGTTTCTTTACCTTATGGTTTAGTACACAATAACCAATAACTGATCATTTCTGTTCTCCTACTGTCTTGTAACCATTATTCCAAAGCGGAATCCCTTCATATCCACGCGTTGTATCATTAAAGGTAAATTTTTTTAACTGTCCTGACGTTAGGGTTTGCATGTTTCTGATTTCACTGGAATCTAGCTGACTTAATAGAACAGAAATGATCTTAGCAAGCTTATAGTCGTTTAGTTTGCCAAGAAATTTCCAGCTTTTAATTTAACCCGAAACCGGTCAGTATCATGAACAAGAAAAATTCAAAATTACTTCCTTAACATTCGTGATTTTCCTCAGTCACTCCAGGCAATGCCAGGACGGAGATTTAAATTAGGCCACGACCGCTTCCTTCTACATCCTTTACCAATTTATTCTTCAATGTTATCCTTCAATTCGATAATAGTCTGAGATATTAAAAGTATATTTCTCCGATTACGTTTCTGTGGGTTCTAAATGTTCCTTATTGTTATTTGATGAAATTCAGGACACTTTATTTGGTAATAACTGTGCTGCGTTAATTATTAATGTAATCGAGGGTAATTTTAAAATGTCTTTGTTTCAAAACTTATCCCTATATTACCAGAAGGCTGTACGCGTGTTTGTGTGTCAAGAGCGAGGTGGTCTCCACGTTATGTTGAAGCCATGCTTGATTATTCTAACGGACGTTTCCAGTCGTTGATTGCTCTTTTACTCGCTTTCTGTAGCTGGAAACTAATCATTTGAAATGGAAATGCGAGCATTTTGGTTACGGCAGAGAGAAAGTGAGACTCGAGTTGGCTTTGGCGACACAAGCACCAACTAAATATGCATGGCCGTCCCATTCCTCTTCCTTGACGTACGGTCGACCCGGAGGCAACACGAAGTCCTGCGTCTCATTGTCTGCGGTCAGGGCAGCGAGGACTCCTCTCTTGAACTGACACTAGATGAATGCTCTATCTCACAAACAGTAGTGTTTCTGAAGGTTAGAAATCATTGGCTTGGTATTTTGTTTTCGCTATTCGACATATGCTACAGGGACCTAAAACTATGCTAGCAGAATTCGAAAGTTTCGCTATTAAACTCCGCCGTTTCCAAGACAGAGTTCACTCTTACAAACTCCTACCCTCACATTTCCTTGAGACCTCCGTTCACATGTCTTTCTTGGTCTTCCAGCTGCCTGTAATGCAAATGATTTACTCGCCAAAATGGTCCTTGTCCTCCAGCCCAGCATATCGTATGCGATGAATCCTTTCTAGTTACAAATATTTTTGTGACAAATTATGTTTATAAACACTAGTAAATTATTTTATTCCTTGAGAATAAGAAGCCACTTATTACACTCACACAAAGCAATCAAAATATCTGCATGAGAGTAATTCAAATGCTACCAAATTTTAACTAATCATCCGTTTATCGGATCAAATATCTGTTTTTTTAATAACTGAACGTTTGGACTTTAGCCCGGTGACGTTTTATAGACGTTAATGTCACTCGAACGGAATTACATTGCTCTAAAACCACTAAAAACAATAAAACGCTAGGTCCCTGTTTCGAAATCCGTCAACTACACGAATTTTTATGTGGATTTTATTACCGTTTAAAACAATCATCGCCAAAATCCCAATATTATTTGACTCATTCAATGGGCTAGCCCACATTCCGTACATGTGATAAGTTCACAAGTATACATTTTTGCCTTTCATAGACATATTAAGGCAGATATATTTGGAAAATTAAAATATACTAATAAAACGAATGTTAAACACAAGATTAAAAATATCTAACATTTCATAATAAGCCTGCGTTACAACATTTGTGTAATATTAATGAATATAATGCACAGTACAGTGTATTTTAATGAAGCTGCGACTATTAAGAGATACTTTGCATAATACAAAAGCCCCTGGCAGACAAATGCTAGAGTGTTGTCATGTAAAGACGACTTTGCTAGACTGATGGAATGAGGTTACTGGTGGAGGTGGTGGTTACTTGAGGCGGTGGTGAGGGTGAGTGAATATGCTAACAGCACTTTGTCTAATCTTCCATTGAAAAGCATTGAAAAGGGTAGCAGAATTCATATCTAAGTATAACTTTTAACAAGACATTTTCAACTCAGCGTCTGAAATGAAAACGAAAGTTATAAATCAGTTCAAGAGGTCATGTTTCCTCGTAACTCCAAAACAATATTCAGTTTATACTTAACATTACAAGGAAATTATATTCTACATAATTATTGGGCTGTAAATAAATAACGAGATGTCAAAATATTGAAAACGTAACGATATCCCCTCCAACAAACGAAAGAGAAAACTGTAATTAAATATACTAAAATGATAAATATGACTATAGATATATTTAAGGCAGTATTATTGTTGTTAAAATCAAAATTTTGTGCACTTTGTTCTCTATCATATAAATGACATAATAACCCGTTAGAATTTTAATCTTGGAGTTGGATCAGTCTAATAGTGCCAGTCATGAGGTTAATGATAATTATAATGATCTTGCACAATTGGTACCAAAGATAATGCATTCACATTTTTAAACTAATGACCTAAATACTATTCAAAAATATGGTCTGTATCGCTAATATAACACGACATTTGCGAATTACAAAGCTAAACTGATTAAATCTGTGCAATGAAATAATGCCTGCAGGTAATGAAAATCATTCAAATATACTAAATTCAACATTATTTACTGTTAAAGCACGCGGTACATACAGTGACACTGAGATTTAAGGGGCTAAACACCAGAGACAAAATAATAATCTGGGAACCACATGCATTATAACATAAATGCAGAAATTATACACAGTGAAAAGTGTTGAATCAAATAATACAGATATTTTATTAGACAGGAACATTCATACAAATGTCTCCCATTTTCATTATCTTCCCTTCTACCCGACGCGAGCCAGAGGCCAACCATAAAATAATTGGCAAGTACCAATACTTACACCCACATTTTCTCAGTTGAGATCCGCTCTGAACTAGTAAAGATTTAATCAAGTTACCGCCACGTAATGGGAAAGTGTTCTCGCTACCAGAAATTGAATTTGAGTAGATTTTTCCACGTTCAGTCAGTTGTAGAAGGCAGAAGAAAAGACAAAACGCTGTTAAGGAAGAAATTCAATTATAGTTTTACTTCATTCAAGTGCAGCCGATGTTGGTTTTCAGAATCGTCTGGACAGAACGCATTCCTACAAACCCACAACAGTTGCTAAGGACACAAATATGCACAGCAGAAAATAAATGTACACCTAGTTTTAACCCAGAAACAGAAGCAGAGAGACGACGGTGGATATTCAACAGTAGCTAGGAGGATAATATTAAAAATTAAAGTTCTTTTATAAATTTTTAGTATATACTCACGGTACAAAATTACTTTAAAATGTCGAGTAGTCTTGAAGAAGTAATGTCTGAAGGAACAGACGATAGACTGTAACGTAATTTCCACGTAGATATACGCTTATTTTATGTACTTCGTGTAAAGAATATGTAGGTGTGGCAAACGTAAGGAAGATTTAAGAATCTAGGATCACAGGGACCCATTGTCGATTCATATTATACCAGATGGTGTGTGAGTTCATCATACGAATGGAGGTAGCACTCGAAAAGACCGAATGGACCATCCACTAAGAAATATATGTGACGCGAGAAATTTCATAAAACGGTGCGAAATTAGATTGAGTTGCGAAATGCGTAAAACTCAAACCACTAACATCAAAAAAGGTGACACAGTAATTTCCCATATCGATTAGACACGTTCAGAAACGTTGTGATTCAAATGCTAAATAAATAACACAAATTAGTAAATAAGGACAGAGAATCCTTATTTTAGAAAACAACAAATTTTATATTTCCGAGTCGCGGCCGTTGATATGCTAATGGTTAAATCGTAGCGACATTTGCATGATTGTGATGAACTGCTGTACATTGGATTACGTAAATCTAAATTTGGACGTATGAAGTAACATTAAAGTCACAGAGATTTTTAATAAAAATATGGTTTTCTTCCAAGTTATGTCCAGCATTTTCAACTTAAAGAATCCGTACTTAAGTAATAAGTGTAGTTCCACATAAAGAAACGTATAGTTTAAAATATTGATACATGGTATTTTTAAAGAAATATATTAATGTACTTTAATAAAAGGTTTCTTCAGTTTTTAAAGGCAATTTTCTGTACTACACACTGAGCGCGGCCAGAGAAACGCCACTGCTCACCAACATTTAACCTACCCGTACCTGAACTACAACACCTTTTGTGTTTAAAGTGTCAGGTTTTAACAAAGGGGGTGTGGTAGAAAAGGAATAAAGATGTCCTTTCGCAGAAACTTCTACCAGCCTACATGGCGCAACAACCCAGAATACAGCCATCTTTACCTTCCTCAGATGATACAGTAAGCCTTAGAATTGTATCAAATACGAGGTTTAATTTCGATTCTGTAGGCGCAGAAAACCTTCAAACGCTATTTCAAAACAGGAAACACGTATAAAGGTATATCATTATGGTTAAATCTAGTTCCATATGTAGGATGCGAGCATGGTGGTACAGCCAGTGATATCTCTCAGAAACTGCGGAATTATGGAAAGTAATAGCTTCCAGCATCTTCCGCCATGCCCAGACGGAGATATTGGTTTCTGCGTCGAGGACTGCAGCGTGACATTTTGACACAGAGAGATTTTAAAGTAATAGAAATTGGAGAGCAGAAAAGTCTGGAATAAATAGCCTAAGCATAAAGAAGAATTGTTTATTGCTTAACTGTATTTTACACTTACATCGAAAAGAAGAGGTTATTCAACAGAGAATATCCTATCACGATTTCATATTTGAAATCATTCCAAGCACAAAATCAGTTTTTGTAAACTGAAGAAATAAACTGGAGTCAAATGGGGCACAATATAGTTTTAAAGTACTGATAAAAATGTAACAAGCGTTTTAGTTGTCTTAATATTTTTTGGAATTTTATTTTTAAAAAGGAAAAAGTCACACTTTTAAATTGGTATTTTACTAACAAAGGCTTAACATTCACACCCAGATTTTTAATTAAGCTCTACTGAACTGTTGATGTATAAAGGTTTCTGACGATTGTCCGTCATAACTCACAATGTTTTTCGACTTTGGAATCGTCTACAAAAAACAAAGTTACAACTTTTCCAAAGCTCGATTCTGTTTCCGTCTTTAGTTAAAATGGAGGAAGAGAACAGAAGACCTACATGTTGTAGCTCAGACAGGGGTCCTAACTGATTTCCTGTCGTCTTTCATCTATTTTCCCAGAAGACGGAAGAAAATTCAAGCAGATACATAATTTTATATATAGACGATGGACAAAATAAAACGTTATTATATCGAACCGTATTTCTAAACTCTATTACTAAATTCTATTTCGTGTAAATTATGCCACTCCTATGAGTGTGTTGACATGGACATGGTGATTAATCTCCCACTGCAGCATCCCGTTGTGTTAAATACACAATTAATATTGAATGTTCCATCACTAGATGAACAACAGAATTACCAATGTATACTGCAACAATTTATTATCGTATCACTAAAGAAGGTTACCGGTGTCATTTATAATAAAAGTTTCGATTGTCAAACAATAATCGATTGGTTCATTTCAACAAAATTTTAACACGTTAAGCGAATGCACCTTAAAATGCAAATTATTATTATTATATAGTGTTCTGTCTGACGACAGGTCCATATGAACAGGATCCTTCCATCCTCTTCTCGGACTGGGACCTGTTCATATACGTTCTTGGCAGATGATCCAGAAGTGGTTTGCCATTGCCTTCTTCTGTGTGTGAATGGAGTAATTGTTGGGATGCCACGGAGAAACGGGGGAAGCCCCCGGAGGAAAACTCCGTGTTGCTTAGACCACGGCCTTGCCCAACACAAGTTATATATTCGGGCACCGCCGGGAATCTAACCCGAGACCCCAGGATTACAAGGCCAGCGTTCTAACCGCTAGACCACCGTGGCGGTATACAATGCAAATATATAAATATATTACGACGTATTAATTTTTAAGTGAAAGAAACAGGATAAATATTTCAGAATTTTTTGAAAGTTGTGTGCAGATAAGTTAAACGGCGAAGGAAAATATGATAAAGACAGTTCAGGGATGTAAATAAACCTGTCATGTTACAAATCGATGTTCAAGGGTTTTTGGCATTGCATAGGTATCAGTTCCCTCACTATATAGCGTCCGTGTCTCCATAAATTCGTTTCTCATCCAATATTTTATGTTGTGGTTCTGTCTTCTTTTATTAAAGTGACTCAACCTACGAGTGACATAAGACACGATATATTTTCTTACTTTGCCGCAATTTCTCGTCTCCTGGGAAATCGTGTGTTGTGTGTACAATTCCGCCCGTGCTGTCGGAGAATGTAGTGGCAGAGAATAGCAATTTTTCAATCTCATCTTTTCCTCTCTTGTTCTATTATTCTTCTTTTGGTTAAAAGGTAGGTTTAATTTCGGAAATTTACCATTTTCGTTACGTGAAGTCGCATTTGCATGTCACAGGCTTACGACATTGCTGCTCTCTTCCGTGCACACAAAGGCGCGACACAAAGGCGAGAGAAAGAAGTTGTCAGATTTTTGTGTCATTTACAGCGGTAGAAACGAGAAGCTACATTACTTAGCAAGTAATCTTCCTTGCTACTTCACTTCCACTTAAGTTTTCATGGAAAATGTTACTTCCTGCTAATTTACATTTTAAGATGTACTTACTCGCGCATACATTTGTCCGTTGCAAGTTAAGTCATTTTGAATTTTTGTACATTTACTAGACTTTAAGAGTTTAAATTTTATTATTAACCTTATAAAATTTATCAAACAATTCGTTTGTTCATTTCAACAAAATATGTAGGTCCACAGACACACAAATTGTTACAGAGGATTGTATTCTTCTAGGTCATGACACCTTCCGCTATTCTACACAGACACAACATAAGGAACGCGAATTACTCTCTGCCGTAGGCCGGGTTTGAACCCTAAACTACTTCGCAACTTTTCTAAGACTTTAGGCTGTTCAGGTTAGGTGGTCATTGAATAGATTTACTCTGCAGTTTCCCTTCTTTCATTGATGGTTTTTCAAGTTATTGAGGTCGATTCCACGTTACTCGTGGCATTAATCAACGCAGATCTTATTGGGCCCTTAAAGGGCAGACACGGTTGTAATCCAGAACTGTCTCATATTGTTCTTCAGGTGGGGTTCCCTACAAACACGCTCAATTAACTTGGTCTAAGTCTGGGCTGTCCTTCGTATTCCCCAGGGACAAGTTCCTTCGTAAATGTCTCAGCAGCTCCACAGACAGGCAATTTACTTTACGGTTTGAAGTGGTTGGGTGTGAATGAACCAAAGGCTAAAACGCAAAAGATGGTGACAGACTATGGCATCGGACTGAATGGCGTCTTCCAAAACACGGAAGCCTGAAATGTCATTTTATGGCTTCAAATGTACTTGTCGATAATTTATATCTAACAATTAAATAGGTCACATGCTTTTAAAACCACTTTATTCATCAATACGTAAGACACATTTTTTGAAACGACAGTATTTAAAAATAAGAATTTAAAATAATTTTAATAACAAAGATAGTTTTTTCTGCTTTGTAGCGTCGTATAGTCTGGTGGACGTTTACCAACGTTTCAGAGGTCCTTGAAGCCTACACAAGTGCGCGGTGAGTCATCGAACTGATCAATGGGCAGTACGCACCTTTAAAACTAGGAATAAAACCATAATCAGACTCACCGCCACGTAAACCTCAAATCCTACATAATCCAAATAACATTTTCCATGTGTGACGACAAGAAGATAAACACCTTGTTCAACAAAAGATCAATGCCTAACACTGCTTACATAACGTAAATCAAAACTTTCTATAACTAAATTAAATATGCATTTTATATCAAGGAATAATATAATTTTATACAAGTCAACACATTCTAAATTCACAAAATCGCTATTACCACACGGTTCACCCAAATAGTTCAACAGGCAGGTAGAATTATGAATCAACTGTGCATTACCTTCTGCGCTGATGTACATTAACCTAACATAACTTAACCCAACTCAAAACCAAGGAAATCCGACACGTTAATTGAACTACACGACTAGAATCATGCAGTAACATGACACAAGTCGCCTACAATGTCCGTGAAAATTGGAAGCGATATTAATGTTTTTTTGTTGTTGTTGTTGTTGTTGTTACTTTGCTACCTGGTAACTCCTTTCTGCAAATTCTACTACATTTGAAACAAACCGTATTGCTGAATAATTCATGAACAACAAAATCAGATCGAATCTAGCTCGCAGCTGACTTCAATTGAACCATGCCCCATTTTAACAGCAGCAAATATTTTTTTTTTTGGTAACTCTGACTCCCTGAAATGTAACAAACACCACCGATGTGGTCTGAGTTACAATATTGTTTCATTAGAACGTTCCGCATTCATCATTCGGGTCACCGTGCAATAAATCTGCACAGACAATGCGCGACAGGATTTAACTGTCTGCCTTTATGGCTTCGGCTGTGGTCTAAATTTTATACGGAATTGACAAGTAAGATGGCGGAAAGGCGAACTAGAAAAAAATGAAATGCAGTTTCAGAACAATATATTAACTCGTGGAAAATTAATTTGAATCTGAAAACCTGTGTACGTAGAAATATAGATTTATACGAACTCTAACGCTCGTATTTCAGTTAACATGAAAAGGAGTGTATCATCCAATATGAAATTGAGACGTTTTACAAGAACTTACCTTTTAATCTGTTACCGAATTTTTATTAGGCTACAATACTCATTTTGGAATAAGACGTACAATGAAAACGAAGCCTAACAGTGGGTCTGAAATTAAAGTTTCGAAGAAGAACATCTGATATCTGTGAGTATTAAGATGAGGTCTATTTGAAACAATTACGTTATTAGTGAATCTAAGTCTACAATATTAAAAGTATTAGGTAACAACTATGAAACACAAAGCTCTCCGTATAAAATTACAAATTATTATGCATGCACCAAGGAAGTAAAAGCAAGGATAGCCATGGCCAAGGCAGCTTTCGTCAAGAAGAGGATACTTCTCACTAGCAAGTTGGGCTTGGAGATGAAGAAGAAACTAGTGAAGTGTTACGTATGGAGGAGAGACTTGGACACTCAGGAAGAAGGAACAGAAATACCTGGAGAGTTTTGAAATGTGGTGTTGGAGAAGAATAGAGAAGATCAGGTGGACGGATCGAGTGACCAACGAAGAAGTATTGAGGAGAGTCAAAGAGCAAAGAATCATTCTGCAGGCGATTACACGAAGGAAAGCTAACAACTGGCTGGGACATATTATGAGAAGAAATGGATTACTGAGTGATATCACCGAAGGCCAGAAACGCAAATTGTTCTGAATAAACTGCAGGGGATTTAATATTTCCTCCGTAAAGTGAAACGGATTATAAGAGAAAACAGTGGTAAATGTAAAGAACGAAATTAAACAATTGTCAATCGACTTACCACCTTCGCCACTGGATGGCTGCTGCCAGCTGCAACACCTGGTAAATACTGGACTGCACTGTGAAAGAAATAATTAAGTATTAAGTTCAACAGAGAGCGTCACCTAACAGGGAAATTATTGTGTGGTTGGTAACGCTAAAGTTTGCTGCATTTATTTAACCCTTTATTACTAACGGTGCCTACGTACAACGCACTTCAATATTCAACAAATCTGCATTTTTTACCATACATACACATATGACTCTAACAGAATGCAATACTGTCTTTAAACAACATTAAATAATAGGAACGCGTTGTTTTCTTTCAGGTCAGAACTGGATTTTTTAAAAGTATCTCCAATGAAAACATCAAAATCCCACTTGAATTCCTTCTTTAAATCTGTGGTAGACTTCGCTAAGGGTTTTTGCGGCCTTCTTCAGGGTCTCAAGAAAGAGCTGAACCTTAAAACAAGGATGCAAATTCTTCCTTTTAAATCATTTAAAAACACAAATACAGTAGCACTAAAATGTATGACTGAATTAATGGACTCAGTGTTCTTGGAGACTTTAATCTACAATCAAATTCTGATGTAAAGATCCCTCTGGATTTTCAATAGATATCGTATACAATTTTAGTTTTAATTTGCGTATATATAATCCTGTAATATTACACGAAGCCGTTTCGCCGAGGGGGAGTTAAGAATGAATTGGTAAACTTTCAAAGTCACTTTATAATTATGAAAAGTTTGAACCTTCACTGAATGCCCTCGAGGCATAAAGAATACCTTCAAAACTACTTTTTTCTTTTCAAGTTCACATAAAAGATGAGTAAGAGTAATTCAGTTTTGGATTTTTTTCCCCAGAGCTACTTAACTACTCTGTATAAACCAAATCAGTATATTAAGTTGAATGCAAACTTTGCCTAACGTGGGTCTACTATTCAAGATGTGAGGTTATTAACGCGGTGACGCAATATAGGGTATACAATTGAGACAGCATATTACTGGAAAAAATTTATATCTACCTTTGAGCCTACATGGCGTCAGAACCCAGAACAGAAACATCGTCAAATAGATCAACTGTATTTTCCTTTCGCGGTTCACGTGATTTTTTAGCAGTGAGAAAAAACAGCAGCTTTGGAAAGCCGTTCTGGTTTGCTCCACGTTCGTTTTATCCCTCAAGTTTACTATTGGCAGGCCCCTAATGTACTGCACTGTGAAAGAAATAATTAAGTATTAAGTTCAACAGAGAGCGTCACCTAACAGGGAAATTATTGTGTGGTTGGTAACGCTAAAGTTTGCTGCATTTATTTAACCCTTTATTACTAACGGTGCCTACGTACAACGCACTTCAATATTCAACAAATCTGCATTTTTTACCATACATACACATATGACTCTAACAGAATGCAATACTGTCTTTAAACAACATTAAATAATAGGAACGCGTTGTTTTCTTTCAGGTCAGAACTGGATTTTTTAAAAGTATCTCCAATGAAAACATCAAAATCCCACTTGAATTCCTTCTTTAAATCTGTGGTAGACTTCGCTAAGGGTTTTTGCGGCCTTCTTCAGGGTCTCAAGAAAGAGCTGAACCTTAAAACAAGGATGCAAATTCTTCCTTTTAAATCATTTAAAAACACAAATACAGTAGCACTAAAATGTATGACTGAATTAATGGACTCAGTGTTCTTGGAGACTTTAATCTACAATCAAATTCTGATGTAAAGATCCCTCTGGATTTTCAATAGATATCGTATACAATTTTAGTTTTAATTTGCGTATATATAATCCTGTAATATTACACGAAGCCGTTTCGCCGAGGGGGAGTTAAGAATGAATTGGTAAACTTTCAAAGTCACTTTATAATTATGAAAAGTTTGAACCTTCACTGAATGCCCTCGAGGCATAAAGAATACCTTCAAAACTACTTTTTTCTTTTCAAGTTCACATAAAAGATGAGTAAGAGTAATTCAGTTTTGGATTTTTTTCCCCAGAGCTACTTAACTACTCTGTATAAACCAAATCAGTATATTAAGTTGAATGCAAACTTTGCCTAACGTGGGTCTACTATTCAAGATGTGAGGTTATTAACGCGGTGACGCAATATAGGGTATACAATTGAGACAGCATATTACTGGAAAAAATTTATATCTACCTTTGAGCCTACATGGCGTCAGAACCCAGAACAGAAACATCGTCAAATAGATCAACTGTATTTTCCTTTCGCGGTTCACGTGATTTTTTAGCAGTGAGAAAAAACAGCAGCTTTGGAAAGCCGTTCTGGTTTGCTCCACGTTCGTTTTATCCCTCAAGTTTACTATTGGCAGGCCCCTAATGTGATTATCATCCTGTTACCCAAGTTTCTATTGCCATAGAAGGTAGTTGAACTGACGCAAGGTCTATATATATACTTATTTCCTCACAACTAACACGTTGCCACCCTAATTAGTTTAGTTTCCTCTATAATCAGTGATAATTACAGACCCGGTATTATAAACAGATTAAGGATTAAAGTTTACCTGTGGTTCCTTCTAATCTCATCACATTTTAGTACCTAATATTATGTATTCATTCTAGTTTTCATTATTAAAGTGTATGCCATAATCAGCTGCGAACAGGACAGAGTTGCGTAAAATTAGAGTGCAAAGTTTCAATTAATTTTTAGAAACAAACGACAACGTCGTCACACACGCGGGTTGTTTAGAAGTAATTAATCACAAGGGGTAACGATTTGACATTCACGAATGTGTTCACCAATAAGATACATTCAAAATTAAGCTGTTAATGTCGATGTATATTCAATAAATTAATTATTCACCATCATTTAACGTGAATAATCTATACATTAATAGAAAGTGTATGAAAATAAAGAGTCTACACATCTTTTATACAGTTACGTTTCAACCTAATCAGATCATCTTCAGACGTAAGAACTTAGGATGTAAATGTACTGTCACAAACCTGTCTATAAATATATATTTAAGCAAATTCACTGGCTCTAGGATACATTCATGGTTCTTACAGGAGTTTTATACACACTATTATAAAAGTGTACCAAAGTAAAATTTTGTAGGCCTTGTTATTATAAAAAGTAAAGATTTAAAATAAAATTCCAATGTAGGAATATAAATGTTGTGGGTATGGCCAGTGACTAATTTTAATTTAAAGTTAAATCTTGAATTTAACTGATTAAAAATTAAAGGACTGTTTGCGTACAAGCCTGTCTTATTAAACGCCTTAGTGATGTCAAATTTCCCAGAATTCCGTATTAAACTAAACAACTGTTCGATGACATCTAAAAATTTTCACATGTTTTTGGTTAGTTACGTTTCATTTCAACTTTTGGTTGTGCGAGGCAACCTGTACTTACAACATTTTTTGCAACCAGCAAAGCTCTATACCGCAGACCCTGTGTTTCGAAAATGCATGTGTCGTTCACTTGTCATTGAGAAACTTACCAATCTTACTTAAGTTTGTATTGCGCTGGTGTCTTCCGGCCAGTGGATGTGCACAGACTGAAACTACTGACCAATATATATAATGATACAGTAGTAGGGGGGCCTTTGTACTCCACGTCCTTTAGAAGCGAAAGGCATGATTATCAGAGGAACAGGTAGGGGGCACAGGTTAACAAGCACAAACTGCCCATACTGTAAGCATTATTTCCTAGCGGCTGTGCTTCGTATCTCGCTGTCTCAGTTCGTATGTCTGTAACGTATTTGATTTGCATAGTAGCATGCGTTTGTTTGCCTTCCAGCCACAAGCTAGTGATGCAGGCAAAACGTACAGTGAGGGGGAGAGAAAATGGCGGTATGGTAAGTGAGAGGGAGGTTAAAGTATTATCCGAGGTTACTAGGATATCAAAAACGGAATCAAGTGTATATACACGTTTTATTTATTTGAATACCCTCTTCAGTAGTATTGTACATCCATCCCTCAATTTGTAAACGTAATTCGTTCGATTAAAAATATTCGTAAGGTGAAAATTCATAAATTTAAAATGGAATTCTCATTATTTTAATGTAAAATTTCTGACTGGTTGCCGACTCTACGAAAAATCACCCAATACGTTTCACCTTTATCAAAACAATGCACACTTATAAAAATAAAAGAAGTACTTTGTATGAAAGTTGTTACCCATTTAACCCTGTAAAGCACTGAAGAAGTATACAATCAAACGTTTACATTGTACAGCAGATACTATACTTATAGTATGAACACCAGAAACATGACAGTCAAAGAAGGTCACTATACGAATTTTCTAATTTAACTGAAGTCGGTCACTGCTGTCTTAAATGACTGTGAATGATATGGTTTTTAAACTCAGTCCAACTTGTATACCCAATAGTCTATTTGAAGACATAATCGAAGCATTCTCACATACAGAGACTGAAAAAAGCACTACCCCTTAGCCAAAATAATCTACAACATGATCAAAGATCGAAATCAAATACCTCCGAAACACAAGGGTACAATAATTTCGCTTCATTAATTCGGAGCAAAAATTATTAGAATTCTTTCCTTCATGTTCACTGCCAGACTTCTATCGCCTTTAAAATTTACCTATCTATCTACGCTCTATTCACAGCAGAAAGTTGTAAAAGCGAATTTTCGTTAGGGCTGTACTATTTAAAAAAACATTGTCACTCTGTGTACGACACAACAAATATTTATGAACTTTTATGAATAAATATACTTTCATATTTTAAACGTTGGAAGCATGAAACAAAATTTATTTTTAATTTATGTATTGTTCTTTTGGCAATATATTTAGCTCTCACAAGTGTAAGAAGAATAAACTGTAACATTAATTCCTATGTTTTGCATTCAGAGAACAAACTTCCCTCTCTCTACGTCAGTGATGCATCTTTTTTTTTATAATTACCTTCCGGTAGCTTTTGGATTATATCAGGATTTTATCAGAGTGCTCATTTTTATCAGCTGCGTTTCATAACAAAGTAGTAAACGCTCCATATCAATATAAATTAGCTCCACATTATTCTGATATATACGACAAGAGAATCATTAATTTTAATACCAGCCATCTTGTAAAATCAGGGCATACACTTTCTTTTATGAAACTAATATTTTACTCTTGTCATCGTTCACAGAGGACTCTTTATCACAATGGAGTGTTTTAATCAGCCAAGAAAGTAAGTAACAAAGATAAAAATACATTATATTTTTGTATTTTACATCTGAAGTGATGTTTAAAAATTTCAACAGGATAAAACATGTGACTGATAATAAGTTAGTGGTAGTTAAATGTTTTATTTTACAGTTTAGAAAAAATTGAAATTATTCCTTCCAGTTCCAAAAAAGAAAAACCGGGTTGTGTCCCAATTAAACGTACCAAACACCTAAAATATCTTTAGTTAAAACTGTCTCATTCTTCACGGTATTTTTGTTGTGCATTTTCAACCGAACCGTCTCTGAGGTTAGTCGGAAACACTGCAGGAATAAAACAAAAAAGACTTAAAATAAATGGCGATCAAGCCTTCATCGTGACCGCGGCTTTGTTTGCGTGTTGCACGGAGGCTAAAGTAATGACATCGCTTATTTTTCTGTCCTCCTTCCATCTCCTCCATTCCCTACTTTTTTAGCTAAACAAGGAACAGCATAAGTACCACTATTCGTTACGAGTTAACAGGATCAATTGTTAGGATCGCGCTATAAAACGCCCAAATGTTCTACACGTCTTCTTGTTTCTTCGCCTTACAACGGCATCTTATCACTGTCACGGCTCATGAAGACCCATTTTACTACGCAACGCGTCACACACAATGTCTCTTTCCTAACGCCATGTACGTATACAATGAACATAATCATTGCCACAATAAAATTACATGCGCCGACTACGGGATTATAATGCTAGATTTGAGGTTTTAATATCGTGAAGACTTGTCGTCAGATGTCAACGTTGGCATCAAACTACGATTACATACGAGTACAAACCCAGAACAGCACCTTCAAGGAATTATTAGTATGAATCTCATAAATAAATCTATCTTATCTTACAAATATGAAGCTTACGCTCTGTCATATGAAGTAGGATGACATTGAGGTTTAAATCGGTCATGATTTTTGGGGCCAATGGAATCAATTTTACTCACAATGTGATGATATTCAGGAGTTCCTGAGTTGCTCTGAGTATAAAGATGACTTGAAGTGGGATAATAATGAGTAAAAATTAAAAAAAGGAATACACATTAAATGGAATGCATCGTTTAAAATAAAAAATGGTAAAAAAGTAAATATGAAGACAAAGAACAACAGAATTCAATTAGAAATATCTTAAGAAATGAGAAGATAGATTTATGAACCCATATTTATGTTATGAATGAATTTGCAAGTTTGTCTTTACTCTATGAAATCAGTTTTAAAATATCAGTAGCCAGATAACATTAATTCACCCTATGTAAAGCAAATGTACTTTATGAAGTAAAATATTCAGAATACTAATTGCGCATGTCGAATTAATTTAATGATACCATTAACACGTGAAACACGTTGTTATAGCCTAGCATAAACGATGCATTCAATGTGAAAATAGACAATTCCACTTCAGTTATACAGCGCTTTCCAAAATTATCTTCCTATAAAAGCACAACGTACATAGCCTGTTCCTTAAGTATACTTATGGTACGACATAAAGATAAATGTCACTCGACTTATTTATGACGTAATATCTTCCCTTCATTATTTTACGTTTATATAAGTATTTAGTTTTCTTTTCTTGTCTGTCTGTGTGTATTTTAATCCGTGTCTGGAGGTAAAGACTTATCCGAATTGTACTACGTGAGTCTGTATTTTCCTCTGTCTTCAGACGACATACCGCCCTGAAGAGTGTATCATTTGTCGCAATCTGTAAGAAGAGGCCGAGATCAGCTTGAACGTCTGCCGTGTAGTCTACTTCGCTGGGGCAACAAGTCAGGCGTAAACGGTGCTGTGAAAACAGCGGCCGCTCAGAAGCCGGGTTATTCATGAGAACCTTGAGGCATAAAACGGAAGTGGACTGGAAACAAAAATTCCAGCTTCTCAGGGTGTTACACAGTCTCATACATTTTGCAAGATGGCGAACGGGAAGTGTTGGATCTGGAAACACCAACGGGCCAACAGGCGTGGAGGTAGTGTGTGCCCAGGCAGAAATAATTTTACTCCAATTCCCAAACCTAAACCTAACCTAACACGATCCTGTAAAGAATACATCTTTTATAAACCTAGTTTGTATTTACACAATTCCTGGAATATGGGAGACGTTATCAGTGCTTAAGCTAAAAGCTGGATCACCGGAGTTTGATTCTCGTCACAGTGGAATCTGGTTTTTTCGCCAAAAAGTCCAAATAGAGTCTAGGGTCCACCCTACATTCCATAAAATGTTTATCGGGGTTGTCGCCTCGGGGGTAACGCGCGGTCGGAGTGTATCTAACTACGTACGTCGTTCTAGGGTTGATATTTAAATGGAAAATTCTGTATAAATGTGAATAATATCTGAATGTTATGAGTTATGATACATTTTTAGTGTTTCCTGGAACAGTCGACCTAGTTCTTACTCAAGAAGGAAAAAATCACGGAACAAATCACCAGTACTAAATAATTCTTTAAATTTTAAAATGCAAACTTTATCAGATCTGTGAGAAAATTATCAGGCTTGTAGATTGTTCGAATGTCATTAGACAAGGTAAATGACTCGCTAATCAAACATTTCCTGGCGAGTAGCAAATGAAAAGATTTTTATGCAATTCAAACTTAAGGTCCAGAATTAAAGTATGAGACGGGAAATAGCTTCGCCTGACTGTAACATAACCTCACAAATTAGACAGTATATTGAGACTTTAGTTTAAACTTGATCAATAATGACGTAGTAAGACACCAGCAGAGTTTTCATATATTCCCTCGTGTTGCAGCAACCAATATTTTTTTTAAAAAAAGTACCATATCACTGTCATAAAATAGATTATAATTGAAATGTTAATGGGTTATAATTTAAAATACAATTATGCCACAAAGAAATAATATCTTCCGTCTATAAAAATGTATAAACATTTCCTCCTTGAAACAAAACTACCAAAAGTTCGACTGGTGTAAAATTTCACAACTTTATCCATCGTAATTTGGTACAGCCAAGTAAAAATCCGGTAAGATTTATGGACTCAAAAATAGAACTGAAAAATCTCGTCGGTTTACAATTTGAACATTTGTAAAGATATAAATGTGAGGGAGTGGGGTGGAAGATTAATGCGAATATAAAATAAGAGTCGTTTAGAGCAAGATGTTAACGTATCCCAGGGGGTGTTCAGCCGCCCTTGTAGGAACACACAATCGATACGTCGTACCACAGGGACGAGACAAAGACACGTTCTTCATTTCACATTATTACTTATAGAAAGTTTTTTGTATTATTTAAAGAAGCTGTTTGAACCTTAGAGATTATACACCTGCAAAAAACAACTAGACCAACTTAAATGGATAAGCATTTTAAATAAGTCTACCTACATTTTTTCGATTTTCAATACAAGTGAAGGCTGAATCACGAAAAACTGCAGGTGTTTTATAAACGTCATTAAATTCATAGTTTTTTTTTTTGCTATTAAAATTCATCAAATGACATACTTTTGTTTTGTGTCTTTGCTAGTTGTTTAAATCTGCTGTTATTAAGTAACACCAAGAAGGGCATTGTAAGTTTCACGC